TGCTTAATGTGGGACGAGAGCGCACTTTGTATTGTATTCCGAAACGTATCGTCGAAACGCCCGTGTTCATTCCGATGCTGCTTCTGAAAACGTCTCAGATAAATGAAACATTTTTCCCGCTTCTTTACGGCAGACAATGGGCTATTAGCTGTAAGTACCAATTATGGAGCTGTACGGGCGCGCTTCTTTTTCCCCGGATAGTTGTGCGCGAATAAAGTAAGCAGAATCGAGAGAGCCGCCGTCTTCCGTCGACGTTTCGTGGGGGATGCGGCTAGACGAAACCGGAAACAAGCTTCAAAGAAATCAAAGGACGACTTCTAGTCGTTCGTTTTGTCACACAAACCTCTCTGTCCCGTAATCTGTCGCTGGATTAATTAGACGACACAAGGTCTCGGTTATACTGTTCTCGTCATACAGCCTCGATTCGCTCTCTCGAAATTTCATTTTTTTTTTTTTTTTTTTTTTTCACTTTAATGAACCGATCGTTTGGTATCATTTTCTCCCGAGAGTCTTCGATATGAATCGCGCAAAACGATCGTTTCTCTCAGAGTGGAAACTGCATATTTGAACGAAGAAAAAGGAGAGGGGGATCGATCGACAGCGTGTGATCGTTTCCGATATTTGCACAAGAGATTGCAGCTTCGCATCGGTTAACTGTATCAATTTCGAGGAGCTTGTTCCGTTTAACGGCTCCGCGTCGGACGGTCGTAACCATCGGGACGAAGTAATCATGATCGCGAGTCGAACGTTCTCGTTAATTTTCCTCCTTTCCGACAATGTTTCTTCCCTCTCTTTTCATTTCGTTTCGTCGTCTTTCATTCTATTAGGCGGGATGACGTCGAACAGGAAAACGGATGCGTTAATCGAGCGAGGCAAATTCCGTCTGCAATTAATCCCGGTATAAAGGGCCAGACGTATGGCAATTTGCTAAGCCCCGTCGGTTTCTATTATCCTGGGTCAGATTCTGGGTACGAAACCTGTTTCACCGATGCATCGACCGAGTTGCTCGCGCTCGCGTTCAATGGCGAAGTTCAACAGCACTCGCAGACAATTTGGCACATTGAACGGATATTTTTCGACCGCGACGCACGAGGACAAAAGGCGGTGCCTTGGTCTCCCGACCTTCTGTCCCAGAGCGACTTGTCACGAGCGTCTATTTCTCGAAACTCTCTGTCTCTACGTGACGAGAAACAATTAACGTTCGTCGCTACGGGGAAACGGTGAACGTTTGAAGCAGCCACGTGACCCTGACTTCCGTCTAATATCTGATCTAATCCGAAAATCGAGATTTAATCGATGAATGGAACGCAGTCGCAATTAGAAGCGTAGATGTTGTTTTTTTTTTTCATTCGGAGAAAGTACCGTGTAGCCAATATGATCCGGATAACGAGATGTCAATTGACTGATTGAGTAGGGCTAGGCAGCGATGATAACATCAGAATTAATAGATCAGCTTTTAAGAAGGCAAAGGAATTTTTGACGAATTTTCTCGATCGCTACGTGAGAATTGCTCTTTGCTTCTTTTTCATTCGCATGAACATTTCGGGTTGAGCAAACGAGGATGCAGTGTTAACGGCAGAATAACCCCTGTGGTGTTTCATTTACTTCGCAATCGTATAAATATTGGATTTCGATATTGATTTTAACGTCGTGTATTAGCCCTCTGAATCGATCGTCTCTACCTGACCTGATTCCTCACCACCTTTGTTAAAATTCAAGCGACGAGTGTTCCAATGTTTTTTTCGCAACGTATCGCTCCTCAGCCTTCGGTCGTTCTGCACAAAATTCAGCGTCCACGCGCAATAATTTATCTCGCGATTGCGCGCGAAAGACGCCAGGCTCCGGCCGTGTTCGATTAGGATTCGACGTAGGATTCGTGGCTACGCGCTAGTACGCGCCGCGTGTACGAGCGAATAAAATAATTCATCAGGCGGCGTGACAGCGGCGAACGGAGTCAGCTAATGAATAATACGTGAACACGTTCACAAAATCGCGACGATCACCACAGAAGAGAAGACGGCGCGAGCCTCCTCGGGAGGAGAAGGGTGCATCGAGGGTGCAACAGCAGCCACCCGTGTGTCGTAGGCGCTTCCAGAACCTAGAAGGCGAGAGGAGACTCTCTTCAGACCAGAGGAGATACCTTCGGCATTCAAAGCTCCTCCGGGGAATGCAAAGCACGAGCCATTAATTTTCTTAGCGATTCGTCGAGCGTAGGGACATTCTTTTCAAGACTTGATATATCGCGCGCCAACGTTCATGCGCGATTTTTAGTCGCGTCCGACTTTGAAGAAGGGGTTGTAGACAAAGAGAGCGAGAGAGAG